GGGGGGGGGGGGGGGGGAGGAAAAGTGCGCATTAGGAGATACACGTCCCATTTTCCTGAATTTCAAGTACTATACCTTAAGCCTAGGAGCGGTCTTCTGTGCAACTTGGAAAGAATCCGCACAAAGTTAGTTTCCTGCAAGAGTTTTCAGACCATTCATATCTCCTATAGAAAGCGAGTCGTCGCAATCGTGTGTAAAATATCCATTAGTCGATGCTTGAGTCGAATTTGTCCATCGATTTCCTCGGGTGATGGCCCGAGGAACAGTTTCGAATGATTGCTTCATAGAGCAATGACCAAGATCGTGCACGATTACGTGATCGATGTTTCCCGATTCGGTTGCGGAAACGGAAACGGACCGGAAACGTCCATCGCCTCTCCTCTTTTTCTCCTCCTCTTGTCCTCTTTCCTCTTCCATTTTTTCTGTTGGGATGGGATCGCGTGCCACTTCGCGAAGTCTTCCGACGTGCTGGAGCCGATCTTGCGTCGAGAATGGATGCGCTTTCGTATACCGGAATAAATCTATTCGAGGACGAAATGCGATTCTTTTGTTTCTCTTTCATCCCGCGTTCCAGGTATCGCTTTGACGTCAGTCGTTTAAAATTGAAATCTCTTCCTCGATGGACATGGATCCGAGGTGTTTCTTCGACCGTTCATCGGCGATATCATCTCGGTCGAATGCACGTCCGGTTTCCCCATGGAATCATCCTCGAGTCCCCAAGGACGGGGTGAACCGACGGTCTATCCTCGAGTCTCCTTCGATAAAGCTTACGTAGAAAATAAAGCACGAAGTGCACCCGTTGAATTCGAAAAGGGAAGAGGTATTTCGTCCGCGATCACGATCGACACGAGAAAGCCAGAAAATTCCGGAAGACTAGAGTTTCGAATAACCTGTTAGCCTCGTCGAGTCGAAGGCGAAAATGACGCACGTGAGAAGATTTATTCCTAATTCCCACTTCTATCTCTTTCGTTCCGTTCCCTCGATCGGCCGGCTTCCAAAGAGATCGGTGCCGTGCCGAGGCGATCCCGGACTACGATCCGGGTGTATTGGCTCGACCGGTCGATGAACGTCGCGCAAAAGCTAACCCGTATCCGAAGCAGGTATTTTCTGCGGGTTTCTTCGAAGAAGGAAACCGGATTTTATTCCCGAATCGACCGACCGATATCGACAGCCCAAGATTGAATTCATCTGCATCATTGCCTTATTCTTCCCTCAAATTAGTCCTGATATTCTTTTTCTGTAGGGGAAGGGGATGAAATACCTCTATTTTCTCTTCTCTCTTCCTTACTCTCCTCATCACTCCCCTCCTTCCTCCTTCCCACTCCCGCCTCTCTCGATCGAGGATCTGGGTCTTATGCATGGAATTCAATGGACTGAATGCATTCAACACGTCGATGTTAGTCCCATAGAAACGCGAAAACACGAATCCGATTTCATTTGGTTCGTCTTGCCCTGATTTTATTCTGTTCTGTTCTGGCAGAGTTGCCGGTGTGGAATTACGACGGGAGTTCCACGTATCAGGCGGAGGGAAGCAATTCCGACGTGTACCTCTACCCCTGTGCAATCTACAGGGATCCGTTCCGACTCGGCAACAATAAACTCGTCCTCTGCGAGACCTACAAGTACAACGGGAAATGCACAGGTGAGTCCGTCCCTTCTCGGCAGAGCTCGAGGGAGGCCTCGGGCCGGGTGGAAGGCCTTGGCCACAATCGGGCCGTGCATCGCGATCTCCTCTGACGTCAATCCCAGCCTTGAATCCCTACTTCTTCCTCTGGTCACGGGTCGCGTGAATGGAAACAGCTGGGAATGATAAAAAAAAAAGAGATGAGGCGATTCCTTTCCTTCGTTGACGTCTGTCTGTGTCTTTCATCTCTGACAGGGATCGCATTCGGCCTGTCTTTTTTCTTCGATACGATCGTGCGACTCGTCGTCATTCATGAGCTTTTCGTTTCCGATTCGAGCACTTTGGAACTCTTATATGCGTTTCTCGTGCTCGGTGCACGCCGTAGGAGAATTCATGAAGGCCTCGCTCGAAGATCCGAGCGATAGTTTAAAACGAGCGCTGCCACGAGAGATGACGGTAAAGAAGATGGAATATCGCGAAGGTGTACCCGGGACTTTCTCGTCCTCGTTTCGCTACACTCAGTGTCATCAACTTGCATCTCTCGGGGAATCGCTCGTAGATGCTCGTGTGCTTCGCACGACTGAGCAACGACGATCGTGTAGCATGCAAGAAACTCGTCGAAAGTTAACTCGGAATGATCTGATGATGACACGATCGGCTGAAGGGCTCGTCCGAGTTCTTATGTATGGGGGGGAGGGAGAGGGAGAGGAGGGTGAGGGAGAGGGAGAGGGGGGGGGGGGGGGAGGGAGAGGGGGAGGGGGGGGGAGGGGGAGAGGGGGGGGGGGGGGGGGGGGGGGGGGGGAGGGGGGGGGGTATGGAATCCGCCCTCTGACCTCGTTCCATTCGATGGTGGACTCGAATGCAGAAGAGTGGAGAAAGAGGGTTCAGATTCCTGCGCGGAAACTCCACATCCGAGAACGTCTCGACGACGCAGTCGGGCGATTGCGGTACGTCGGGCCGGCCGGTTCTTGAAAAAAAAAAACAGCAGTGGAGGTACGGAAAAGTTAATTGCGCCGTATGGTCGGTTTGGCTTCTTGAAAATCGACTGCGTTTCGACGGTTACTCCTGTTTTTTACCTTCTGCGCCCGTGCGTGAGAGAACCGAAGACGTCGACCGACGATATCGTTGGAATTCCACGACGTCACGATCGTCATCGACCGATCCCGTGATCCCACTCCCCTTCTGTTTCTGTTCTCCTTTCGCTTTCTCGGGTCTTCGCGTCGCCACGAAACGCCGAGCGAGGAGTGCGTCGCTCGGCGTTTCGTCGAATTGCGATGGAATTTGATTTTGGATTTGGCGGTGAGGGTCCGTCTCCTCTCGCTTTCCGAGCCCGTCTCGGTCGATACGGAGGTCGAGGGCGGAACGTGATCGGGCGACTTTGGGATTCTCCCCGAACAGAGACGAACAAGAGGAAGTCGTGCAAGGAGGTGATGGATCGAGCAAAGGACTACGTCCCCTGGTTCGGGATCGAGCAGGAATACACGCTGCTGGATCAAGACGGTCACCCGTTCGGTTGGCCCAAGAACGGCTTCCCTGGACCCCAGGGTCCCTACTACTGCGGGGTCGGAGCGAACAAGGTCCACGGCAGAGACGTCGTCGAGGCTCACTATCGGGCTTGCATGTATTCCGGCGTGAAGATCGCCGGCTCCAACGCCGAAGTCATGCCCGCCCAGGTCCCCGCTCTCATCTTTTCCTCGTTCGGAACATACACGGAACGTTCCGACGGTTCGCGAGATCGATAGACGATCTTAGGCACGTTCTTAGGATCTCGCGATCGAGGTCCACCACTTTTGCAATAAGTGTGGATATTTACTTTTTTCCAGTTAGAAATAGCGAGAATGTAACAGTAAATAAATATACATTTTTGAGAAGTGATAAATTAAGTGATCCGAGATGCATGGCGTCGGCTTCCGATCCCCGGAGAGACGCCGACGAAGCCTTAGAGGTTGAAAAGGCGAGTCTGTCCCCAGTGGGAGTTCCAAGTGGGGCCGTGCGAAGGGATCACGATGGGAGACGATCTGTGGATGGCGAGATACCTGCTCCATCGGGTGGGTGAGGACTTCGGGATCGTCGCCTCCTTCGACCCGAAGCCGGTTCAGGGCGACTGGAACGGGGCCGGCGCTCACTGCAATTTCTCCACCAAGGATATGCGCGTCGAGAACGGCATCACGTGAGTTCGAACTCCCTCTCGCAAAAGGCGATGAGTCGACAGGAGAAATAAAAAAATTTGAGACGCGTTCCCGATGACCTTACGTTAAAAAAATTTCGTTTTAAACTCTTTCCTGAGACGTGGAGGGGAAGGCAAGTTTTCGTTGCTTTTCTCTCTCGACGGTAACCGCTCGACTCATCGCCGTTCGCGAGGGAACCGAATTTACGATCCCCTCCTCGAGTCCTCGTTTGTTGTGGGATGAACGGTCGATCGTCGCACAGGGCGATCGAGGCGGCGATCGACAAGCTGTCTCGTCATCACGTGCGTCACATCAAGGCATACGACCCGAACGAAGGGAAGGACAACGAACGGCGACTCACGGGACTCCACGAGACTTCCTCCATCCACGACTTCTCAGCTGGTAATTCCCTCCCTCTCCGCCCCACCCCGTTTTCCTTAAAATCCATCTGGGTCCGCGCGAGTTTCCGGGACGTCCGGGACTCGGAAGGACCGAGTGGACGCCGTCGCACCGTCCGAGTATCGGTTCCGACGATCTCGGTCGTTTCATCCGTAACACATACTCGCGGCTAAGGTATACGAGGCTAGCGATTAAACTCGAAGAGGAATTCCTCGACTGCCTACCCGGTGTGAAGATTTCCACGATGGGATGAAAGCTATTTATAGGAATGGAATTCCTGTTTTGGCATCACCCGTCGGAACGACATGGACTCTGAACAGCCTGCGATATCGTCTGTTCGCATCCGACGTACGTGTGGGACGCAAACAGACGTCTTGAGGCCATTCCGACAGTCGTGCCACGTGGAGTACTCCACGAGATATACGGTCCCGAGTTTCAACTTATCGCCTCGACACGAGGGTGAAAGGATTCCTTAACCGGAACAGTGGCAGGAACGATAATACGTGGCTCTTTTCTCGTTACCCTCCTTTTTCTTCGCATCGCCTCGTATGTCGTGTGAATGCGAATGCGATCGAGTTTTCGCGAAAAAAAAAGCCAATCGAGAAACAGGTATCGTATCTTCTCGCCCTATTAGCGGTAACGAGGCCGTCGTACCGAGAGTCGGAAGTTTCGGACTCCGCGATCCGACGGTGGAAAGTTGGATCCGGACGAAGTCCGACCGAAACTTTCTTTCGTTCCTCGGGATTTTCTTTCGGGTTTCGATTTCCCTCGTCGTCGCGAGAGAAGCGATACCGTGCCGAATGCAGGAAGCAGAAGATACGAGGAAAAAAAAACCTCCACACGAGCTTTAAGAGGATTTTCGTCTTTATTCCATTCGCATCCCGGTCTCCATGACGAGATCCCAACTTAGATTTCGACGAGAAAGAAGAAATGTTGGATCCTTCGTGGCCTCGGGGGTCCCATCGCCACGCATTCCCTCCGATTCCCTCCCTTCCGCTCTCATCGCTCGTCCGGGAGGATTTGGATCCTGAAGGTGTCGCATCGCGGAGACATCGAAATGCAGGCGGTGGCATACCCGACGACCGTATTTTACTCGCTTTCTCCTCCCGACTCGTATGCGAGTTTTCACCGATTCGCGAATCCCATTCGTCGTATGCGTGCAGACGGCACGGGGATCTCGAATCGGCACCATCCGCCCGGGTCGGGTTCGTATGCAAAACGCCACGGAGACTCCATCGTCTTCTTTTCGTGCGTGAAGAAAAATCGAGGTCCGAACGAGAATCGCTTCTCTGGGGTGTCACAACCTGCCCCGGAAGACTTCGATGCTCGGCACCTCTTCCGATTCAAAATATTCACATAACCTGCCTGCAGGTGATGATGCGCGTTTCGTTTCTTCGAGCAGCCATGTAACGGGTAGCCGGTCTCATTCGAATTTCTACGCCGCATCGTGTTTTTTTTCTTCCACATTTGACTTGGAAAAACTATACTTGGTGTCAAAACTGGAAGACTTCTCGATGTCATCTGAAAAACGGGCGAGTGGTAGACGGAAAATATGGAAATACTGCAGCAATCTGCTTGGGAGTCTGCACACCTCGAGTGTTTCGCAGTTAATTAGTTCATTAAGGAGTTAATTTTTTTAACGCGAAAATCCGTTTCCACAACTGCACAAGGTTCTTTAGAGCGGAACCTGAGGTTTCTCGAGGGGGAATGGGATAATAGTGCGTCTCAGAGGATCAGGGAAGGGCGCTGGATCCAATCCGACTCAACCGCTTGTTCACCGCAGCATCTTTTAACTCTCGAAGAGTCGATCTCGCCTCGTTTGGCATGCGACTTCGTCTGCATATTGGGGCCAGAATCGCTCGAGCCGGTCCTTACCACGCGTCGATGACGAAGACACGATGAAGGCGAAGCCATAGAGTACGTGGACCGACCGATCGAGTGAAAAGGGTAGTCGGTACCGGAGGTGTGTCGGCGTGTAGGGTAGTTCCCTACTCTTCAATAAAAGTCGTTCTCTCGTACAACTTTTATTTCCCCGTCCGCGATAACGGGAACGGCCAGAGAGGAAGATTGAGATGTTCTCGGAATCGACAGGGGTGGCGAATCGAGGAACGAGCATCCGAATCCCTCGGACGGTGGCAGCAGAGAAGTGCGGATACCTGGAGGATCGCCGCCCGTCTTCCAACTGCGACCCCTATTCCGTGACGGAGGTCCTCGTCCGAACCACGTGCCTGGACGAATGAACGCTGCCCGCCCCCCCCACTTCATCTCGAATAGCCCCACTTCTGCACGTCCCTCTCGCATGATTCCCATTTATCGACAGTGTATCCTGTATATATATAATCCACCCACCTAGGCTATTTGTACAGGGATCTCGCCGTTTCTCCCTTCCTTACCTCGTCCTTTCCAGTGAGGTCTTTTCAGAGGTATTTACAATCTCGAGAACTCAACCACTCTTTTTTTTTGAGGATGGATTTCGTTTCTAAATTATTTACGACAAAAACTGAAAACTGCTAAAAAAGATGACTTCCCTTTAAAGGTGAGCTTGCTTTTCCTATTGCAGTTCCGTTCCGTGTGTTGAAGTGGCGTTCTTTCAACTGCTTTTCTCTTTCGAGTGTGTCATGGTCGGAGTCTCAGATGTAAATGCTGCCTGTTTGTAACCTTGTAATTTGGCATGAAGCAAGTGAGAGATGATGCGAGCGAGGAATTGTATTCAGTTGTGTGGCTTGTGAATGATGTAATTTGGAATGAAAGCGATCGGACGACGCGGCTTTATGAACTCTACTTTAGATGAGAGTGACTCGCATTTTATTCTCCCGTCTTCTGCCTGTCATCCCGGATGGAAAGTGATCTATGGAGGTGTCTATCGCTAGTTAGATGCGGGAATAGATTCCTGTCTTGGCACTGTCTGTTTCATTGTCCCTCTCGCACGTGAGTTGGATGCATGGTCCTCCGGCCGGTCCGGAAGTCACAGAAATGACGGCAGCCGGCATCTTTCATCCCGGCTGTAATCAGCGAAGACCGTGATCCGGCCCGTCGTGGATCCCCGACGTCCGCGCCGCACGAGAACACGAAAGATCAAGCGAGATCTTCCCGCTCTCCGTCTTCCAGGAGGAGGACTTCAATCCCGTTGGAGACGAAAGGAGGCAGGGAGCCACTCGCGAAGCAGGCGAGCATCATCCAGACGCTCGAGGATCTTAATATTTTCTGTCGCTTTACCACCGAATACGTTTCGAAGAAAAGTCTTACTTGCTCGTATTCTGTTCTACGGAATACCTAACTACCATCGAAACCCTACTGAGAAACAGACCTTATCTGTGGTTTCGGATTGTAAAAGAGAAAGCATTTGAAGGAAACTACTAGACCGGCTACATTTTATCACTCAACTTTTAAAAGTTTTTTTTAAAGATTTTTTTGCAAATTCATCTGTCCACATCTGCACACTCCATCCATTTATACACCCGGAACGGATGGAAGCAATATTTCCACTAACATAGATAAGGCACAAGAATACAAACTCTTCGAAAATAGGAAAGTATACTTTCCTATTTTCGAAGAGTTTGTATCCCCAATCCCCAATCCCCAATCCCCAATGGCCTGTCCACTATAGTGGACAGGCCATTAGGGATTTCTCTGGTGCCTTCGCGATGCGAAGAGGGAAAGGAAAGGCCCCATCGTTGACATGTCTCCGTCCTCAAGCATGTGAAGATGGAATATCATAACATTTTTGGCCGTTTCATGACTCGAAGTCTAATGTATTTGCCAAGAGCCCCTTCAAGTATGCTTTGGAATTTCACCAGGGGCAGACGGAATCGTATCAGTCTGACTAATCTGTCGAGGACGGGGGAATCAGGGCCCACCACGGATTCGAACCTAACCCCAGGCGATCCAGTTTGCCCCGTTCGGATTCCACTTTCGTCGACGAAATGAATTACGTCCTGCACTTCCGAAGTGAAAGCCGAGTGGAAATGGCTCGAGTGATAACTGGGCCATTCCACGAATGCATCGCCGGTTTCCGCCAACATCTATCAGCTGTGGGTTCCGTGAAATTTCTACTACAGTATCGGCTGATTGCCGTAAGTACGAGTTTAAGTATTGCTTCTCATGTGGCATACCGTAAATGCCCGAAAGGATGGCGGGGACGAGGAACCTATGTTCCGATGCGAATACCGATTAAAAGGCCATGCACACTGACTGACTGCGAAGAGCTGCGTTGCGACCACTGCGACCGTCGTAGTTCGTTGCAATCGGTCGCATTGGAGATGCGTGGGACCTTCGCAGACGGTCGCAGCGCGCTTCGCAACGGAATCGGACGAGTCAATTCCTGTCGCATCCAAGCAGGGTTCGTGCTGCGTATCTATTGACCGCAAGTTATTAAATCCTTGAATACATATTGTGAATAGTTTGGCGGCTCTTTTGGTGGAATGACTTTGACGGTAGATGATGCCAAGCACCGCCATTGATTCTCCATGAGCGAGATACGTATCTATAGTAGATAAATATCCAAGAAAGGTCTCGATATCAAATATATTCCTGATTATTTTCCATTCTTTCAATTCATGAATTTTAATTTTAATTTTTTTTAAGTTCAGAAGTATTTGTTCTTCGAGTGCGAAACCTTGAGTCGTCCCCTCCTTCAAGAGAGTGCTGTATGATTAGTACGTATTTGAGATATACCTAATATTTGTATGGAGTATGCATTTACCAAAATCATTGTCACTGCCACCACTTGCGCGGGGAAATGCATGGTCGGAAGTTAGTGTCCTGCCCTCTCTTCCAGCAGATCAAGAAGCGTCTTGAACAGCTCAAGAGACATTCTCACGGACATAGGAGAAAAACACTCTATGTCTTTGGTGATAATATTTTCTACTACACTCTTAGAAAAAAGTGAGCGACCTTGGAGAAAGGGAGTGGAGCTGAAGTTAACTGTTTTACTTCCTTTCTCGGAAATCGCTTACTCTTTTCTAAGAGGGTAGGGTCTCGAATTCTCCCATCTGATGACGGGATCTGTGTACAGGACGTACCTACCTACCATACCGACAAAAAAGCAAAAGTGTTGCAGCACGAGCTCTCAAATTGTACACTGCCGTATTTGATTTGGCTTGGGAGCTCTGCGACGGTCGCAGTCAGTGTGCATCGGCCTTATCCGGGGAGAAAAGGTCGAGGAGAGGCAAATTCTTTGTACCAGCGGAAGTAAGAATTCAAGAAATCCTCGGCATGTCAAAAGACAGCCTTTGGTATCGTAGATGACCTGGCGTGGTTGAAGGAAACTGCCGTCCACTTGACGCCATTGGCATCTTTATACGAGTGGATGAAGTCCTGCTTCGGTCGTCGTAAATGTAACAGAGACCGAATTAGTCCCACTCGATGGGTTTTTTTGTGGAATCGGGGAACACAGAAAACGTTTCTTTCTGATTCACGATTCTCGTGCGAATTTCGAAGAGGGACGCTGCAGAGTTGCAGCGTTTTATCGAACTCGAAACAACGATCGTGACCGATAGCTGGCAAAGCTAACGGAGACTCGCTCGTGGGTGCTCCACTCGTCCGCACCCAAACCGTCTTGGAATCCTTCTGTTCCGTGGTGAAAAGAGCAATAACTTTGACGAAGTCGGCCGTTGACCATAGAGCTCATTTTATGCGGTTTTCACTTCTACTTTTTTTTTAGTGAGGATGACGAAATTTGAACGTCTCTCTGAAAATGAGAGAAAATTGGATTTCGACATCTCAGCGGGGGCAACCTGGATTTCCCCCCTCACTGCTATTGGTGTCTGGAGATTTTTCACTCATCGCCTTCCCCCCCCTTCCCCAGCTACTAAGGTCAGATCAAAGAATATCCTGTGCCCCCTTTGAAAGTATTAGAGATACATTAGGAAGGAACTATGATTTATAAAATATATATTAGTAAAATTTTAAAATTAAATGTCGACAGGTGCTTGTTAAATCGTAGATTTTTTTTTAAAGTAAAACGTTGTTGAACGTGGAGTAGTAGAGCTTAAAGTGCTCTCGTCTATTATTGAGGATTTTTTCCGACTTTCCTGAAAATCCCACATTTTCTTCATGAGGAAAATGTGACACTTTTATGATAAAAGCGCCAATCGATAAACGGAACGAACTCTTAAACGAATTAAATGCATCAGAGAGAACTCGGGATGAATCGTTATGAATAAAAATACGTGCGAGGTACTCGTGATCTCGGAAGCGATTTTCTTTTCATTCCGTTTGGCCCCGTCCTGACGGTCCAAGGGGAAAAAGGCTTCCGTGAAGGCGTGGCAGTTTTACAATCCTATTTCGTTCGGTGGATCTCTTTCGTCTCGTTTTTAAAACGTTACTTCCATGCGATGAATTACGGGCGTACCATCGCTGTCTGCACAACAATGGGGGCATTCAGTTGTGAACCGGGTCACGACTCGAGGTTCATGATTCTCGGCAGGTGCAGTGCTTTTCAAAAACTATTATTGCCCAGGATTGATGGCATTGACAAGAGGTGTCACCATGGAGTAAAATTTCTTTTGAAGCCTCAATGCAAGCGTTGAACTGAGACCCTCGAGTCGTGACTCGGGTCACCACTGAATGCGCCCAATATCGACTCGATGTTGGCGATGGTGAGGCCGATTATGCAATGCGTCGTCAACATCAACTCTTAAGTTGAAAAATGAGACAATGATGAATATTGCGAAGATGAGGAATTCGCTTTGCAATTCGGTCGAGCACTCGATGTTGCACGAAGATGACATCGAGCGAACCATCTGGCAGTCGTTCGAAGAAGCGAGATTACCAGACCCTGAAGCGAGATGGCGACTTCCCCGCCGATGCAGCGAGTGACCCGCTGTCACCTCACCTATGCGACTGGCACGAGTCCCTGGAACTTTCCGAACGGTACTCCGTCTTTACTCCACGGATGACACCGGGGGAAGGATAGGAATTCCTGGACGCGTTCGACGAAAGACGAGCAAACCCGACGAGGCCCAGGGTGAATGGATGTCCGCCTGCGATGCGACTCGAGTGGGACCCCTCACCCATCGATGTCGATGACCCCTCACCCTTGACGACTTCGATTCGATGACCCTAGCACGATAACGATGTGCCGGGATCACGCCGACGCAACATTCACACGGTATCGAGCACTCGACTGGAATATAGCATGAATTGACGACTTCGAGACCATTCTCGATTCGACATGGAGCTGGTGTAGGCTCACCCTCGAACCGTGAACACTTTCGCAACGTTGCCGCAATATTGTTGTGCAGACTGAGATCCTTTCCTTTCGCTCGTATCGTGCTCCCTTCCGGCTTCCTTATTCTCTCTATGAATGGTCGAGAAACCTCGAGAAACCTTAGTAACCTCGCGAACTCCGTCGCATCTGACGACCACCTTCGGTATTGTGTACTAGTATAACTCGTATAGCATAATATTCACACTTCATGAAACAAGTGAATGCAATCGGGAAATTTCACGCTCCTATCGATCTGCTTGCGATGAAAAGGGGCATGCGATGATCTCATACGAGGGGGGGGGGGGGGGGTCTAAAAGTTTCTGGCCCAAC